TTACGGCGACGATATTAGAGAGTCGTGCAAAATTTTCCAGACTTTATACTAATAAAGACTTCAATCGTTATCGTTATGATTTAAATGATGCAACTACTGTATGGGGAACCATGAGCATAGGTGACTGAAACGTACGTGGGTAAAAAGGTACGGAGCTAAAGAGCAAAGAGGTAGGCCCAGCCTTTTCGTAAATACAGAGCTAAATGTTAAAAAAATGGCAGTTTTTGAGAGAACTAAGCGTCCGATTTAAATGATTCAAAAAACTTTCTGCTTTTAACAATTGATTTTGGAAAAAAAAATTGTTTCTAAATTGTTTTTTTTTAAAAAATATTTTTGTAATTTTGGATCAAAAATTCAAAAAATAACCCAGGCTAAGCACAGTCTAAGCGCCACTCTAGTGCAAATATTTACCCAAGTGCGTTTTGACTGTTTAAGTACTGGAGCACTTTTCCAATTTAGTGAAAATTATCGAAAAATGTGAAAATGCCGCCAAGCTAAGCACAGTACAAGTGAAAATGTCGCACAGAATTACTTTCAAATGCGTTTACTGTGACTATACGGGAGCACTTTTTCAATTTTGTGTGAATTAGGCAACTATTTTTCTTTTAAATTGAATTCGAAATGAAATGACGATTGTTAATGTTCTGGAGATAAATTGATTTATGATTTACATTTGATTTGCACAGATATAACAAGATAGCAAAAATAATTAAAGTTACAGTATTTGTAATAATATATTTGAAAACGTTTAAAATTTCTCGAATATTTCATTACGGTACGGGAAGTTTCAGCAGTTTGCCTTAAGGCACGATGCCATAGACCACTGGTTTACTTTCAAGATTAGAAATGGACTATATTATAAAATTCCTATTTATATGTCTTTTACTCATTACGTTCCATGGGATAATTATTTTTCAAATCTCTTCCTTTGCAGCGTAATGACATTGCTCAATGACTCGCAAACTTGCAGATTATTTTGCTTCGTAGAAAAGTTGTCAGAAGCACACATCGCAAAATCAGATTCTCACCAATCGGAAAAGTTTTTCCTTGTGGGATATATCATTAAAGCTTATTGAATGCCTTATGCAGATGTTGATTTAGAAACTTTTGTTGAGTTTGGGAAACAAACTAGTTTGGTTGAAATCGAATGTTGAGGTAATGGTAGATTTGTAGACACAGAAACATTTGTTTCACTAACAAGTATATAAAAATTATATAAAACTAGTTGTGTATGGCATTATGCCTTATGGCAAATTGTTGAAACTTCCTGTACCATAACGAAATGTTCGAGAAATATTAAATGTTTTGAAATAGATTATTATAAATGCTGTAACATTGTCTAACATTTATAAGGATTACATAAACTGAATTACAAAGTTAAAATTATTTATTTATTTTAGTAAATAAGTGAGCTTTAAAACTTTAGCCAGAATTAAGATTAAAATCTGAAATATTTTCGATATACAAAAAAAAATAAAAAAATAAAAAAAAAAGTTGATTTTTTTCCGAAAACAAATATTTTGTCAAAACAAGCAGAAAGTTTTTTGAATCATTCGAATCGGATGCTTAGCCCTCTCAAAAACTGTCATTCTTTGCATAATTAACTCGGTATCTCCAAAACGGCAAGATCTGCCTTTGCCAAAAACTAAGCACCACTTTTCCCCATCATTAAGAATTGAATGTTTTTTCGATCATTCAAATGGGATAGGTACTTCGTTATCTCAAAATCTCAATTTCTATTTTCTGCATTTTTTGCTCCGTATCTCCGTAACGGCTGGAACCTCCTTTGCCAAAAACTAATCAGTACATATCCATATCAATAGGAATCAAATGTTTTTTGAACTATTCAAATTGGTTGATTCGTGAACCCGAAAACGTAGACGAAAAAATGGGGACGTACAAAACACACACACACACATTGAATTTTCTGAGGTATGCCAAAATGTTCAGAAACCTTCAAAACGTGTAGATATGTAAAAAATTTTTTTTTTGATTTCCGCCCATTACTATAACTACTAAATTCTGTAAAGATCACGTGATCGATTTTTAAGGTTTTTGGACGCCTTCTTGCCCTATGGTGATACGTGGTATGACCTGATAAAATTTCTATTACCTAGAAAAAACAATAAATTTTTCGAACTTTAACCCCCTTCCCTCCCCTTTTCCTTACATACAATTTTGTGTTTTTTTGTCAAACTCGTCATGCCCGCAGAAACCTTACGTGATTAATGGGCATCCCTAAGAACAACTCAGGAATATGTCCTTTTATGTATACGTGAATGCATTTATATATATCGAAACAAGTACGTTAACTTCAAAAAGTCTGTGTGTTTAGTACATCATTTATTACAAGGTTTTCTTTGTAAATCTGCACAATATTCCACATATAAGTGTAATAAAGACCTCGCCGGGACTGTTGCTGCGAATACAAGCTTTCCGATAAGGAATAATACCCGTATGGGAGCTTTCTCGAATCGTCGCCTCCCGAAGTCACTGTGATATATTGTGCTGCAAATATTTATTCTGCCTTTATATTACGAAAAAGGATTTAAGAGGTGACATTTTCATCACATGCCCGTATCGGATTTTTCGCTTAGATGCGTGAGTCATTTCGACAGAATATCTAAACAGCAAAAAAGTATTCAAATTTATCGATGGAGATTTACATCGGCCGGAATAATATGTTGTTAACAACGAAGGCGGAAATGAACGGATACTAAAAAAAGAAATATGGGGAGTATTATCATGCATTCTGATTTTGGATTATATATATATATATATATATATATATATGTATATATATCAAATTGATTTCTCAGATCTTCAGATGTACGTTGTGAAACCACTTCAAGAAACCTTGTATATACCTACCTCATATAAAATATTACATTACTTCTATCCTCCATAAGAATATTTCTCCAAGAGCTAAATTCGATCAACAAACACTTTCACGTAACAATACGGCATAAAATACAATATAACAACGTATTTCTGAATTCCTCTCAGCCTGTCGCCAACCATTATGTGTTTTATAACCCGGTCAAGAAAATAGTCGCAAGTGATGACGACGTCCGCCCTATAGATGGTCATTCATGTCACATCGTTCGATAATTGAATCGCCCTGGAGAAAGCTCATTCTTGCCCGAGAGAAATGTAAACAGCAGGTGTAATAGACGAAGAATTGTTAAAGCTTCGATGGAAAATGAGGATTTATCAATTGGTCGGAGTAATCTTTAAATCATTGATTAATTGAATTTCCTATTGAATTCTCTGGTTTTATAATTCACACGACACTATAATTAACAACTATAACAATACTATTTTAACAAATCTTGATAACCTGAAATTCGAGATGATAATTTTAAATTGGGTAAAGAGGTGTTTGAAGCTCCGTGGGTAAAGAGGTTCAACACGATATCTCAAAAACAAGTAAAGTTAAGTATTTTTTGACAACAATATATCTATAGGGAATTAGATGTGTAATCAGCTTTCACCTTGATTCTTAAGACGTTGCTATTGAGAAATTAAAGGCACTGTTTAAAAATACATAACAAAAGTATTTTCTTTCGTTGTTAGTTTTTTTTGTTGTGAGCACTTTTGTTTAGTTTATGAGACTTCAATATAAGTTATTTTCAACAGATTTTTTTTTTATATAACCTTTATAAAACCATACATGTGGGTGGGGTTAAAAATACTCACTCAATCTTTACTCTGGCAAAGGTGTAAACAATGAATAATTAATAGAGAAAGAGTGAATTGTGTTAAAAAATTGCAAGACATTTTTTTAAGTTATTCATGGCATCTGCGCGTGTGGTCATTTAGCTTTTTATTACACATGTAATATTTTACATATTTATAATTAACAGAAATATACATATTTTACAAAGTTGTTTGATACAATAACTTATAAAAACTGAATAACTAATACTTTATTCTTTGATATACATTTTTTCTGATGCATTTTTGTAAAAAATACACAAAAAATTTATATATTATCATCATTAGTAGAAATAGCTATTGTGGTGTTAATAGGAAATATAAAATGATATTTATACAGTTTTGTAGTAAGGATGTTCTTTGATTAGCACATAGCTTACACTTCCAAATAAGATATAAACTAGTGGGGTGTATGTCATCGTGCCTTAAGGCAAATTGCTGGAACTTCCCGTACCGTAACGAAATGTTCGAAGAATACTGAATGTTTTCAAATAGATTATTATTAATATTGTAATATTGTCGAAAATTGAAAAAGAATTGTATAAACTAAATTGCAAAGTTAAAATTATTTGTTTAAAGTATATTAGAACTATAGTCAGAATTAAAGATAAAGTCTAAATTATGTTCGATATATAAAAAAAAATTTTTTTGAAAAAAAAAGTTGGTACAAATTTTTTTTTTTTCAAAATCAATTATTTTGTTAAGACAAGCAGAAAGTTCTTTGAATTATTTAAATCGGACGCTTAGTTCTCTCAGAAACTGCTATTTTTTAACATTTAGCTCTGTATCTCCGAAACCGCTGGGCATACATTTGCCAAAAACTAATAACCATTTTTTCCCATCATTACGAACTGAATGTTTTTTGGATCATACAAATCAGATGATCCGTTCTTTCATAAACTTGATTTCTATTTTCTGCACTCTTTGCTCCACATCTCCGTAACGGCTGGACCTGCCTTTGCCAAAAACTAATCAGCACATCTCCCTATTAATAGGAATCGAATGTTTTTTAAACCATTCAAATCGGTTGATCCGTGCGCCCGAAAACGTGACTGAAAATTTGTATCCATACATACATACACACACACACATACACACATCCATTTTTTCTGAGGTATGCCAAAATGTTCAGAAACCTTCAAAACGTCGAGAAATGTAAAAAATTTCAATTTCGATTTTTGGTCCATTACTATAACTTATCCTACGGGAAGTTAATTAAATATTTTTTATTGTTTAAATTTAGAATGTATTTTAGCTTTATGATTTTTTTACACTTGTTTCAGATCGTCGATGGAAATGCCAAGACAGATGTCTCGAATCGACGTGAGCCTGGACAATTTTGTGGAGAAGCTGAACAACCCCAAACTTTTATCAGTGAAACCAGCTATGTCAGAGTTTTATTCCACACAGATAACTTTACCGATCAAGTAAATATATTTATTTCTATTTGTTCCATGGCTAGTTATCAAAATTTATCACATTTCCATTATCCAGTGTTTGCGGATCATTACATGTTTGAATATTTATAGTGCCAAGAATGTTCCAATTTCGCATAATATACTGATACCTTTAGATTGTAAGTTTCCCAGTTTGTTGCTTAAAGTTTATCCTCTAAGGTTAATGTTGTCTAACCATGGTCGACTGAGCCGTCGAGTTGAGCGTTCAAAGTTTATAATTGGCGTCATATTCACATATAACCCAGGCCATACTACCAAGAGTCCGATGTAACGAGCCAAATGTCAAAACCATCATGTATGGAAATTAATTATGGCTGTAAGTTGTAATACAAGAATCTCTTTGGCCCACGCATTGCTTTTGCTGACAGGGAAATAAATTTCCATAATAACAAAAATCCATAATTGATCCACCACTTTTATAATAAAATCAGAAACTGTGATATCATACTCATAAATGCTTAAAATACAACTCATACATCTTACTTAGTCAATTTGAAAAATGCGGTACCATCAAGTATATACATCAAGTACATAGAACCTATCAAAAAACAACTATCGAACTACGTACAGTATAATTCTCTTAATTCTTAATTATAAAAAAAAATTCACTATTTTTCTGAAATTACCTCTGAAATAACCTATCATATTACCCAAGTAATTATTTCTACATTCTGAAATTTATCCTCGATATTTTTGCATAATTTACTAATGTCTACAGAATTATATTCTAGAAAATTATGGAATTTCATTTATACTTCAATTAGGAAATGACTCTCAGTAAAATTATTTTAGAGTGCATTTTTATATACTTAAATAATTACATTATATAAGTAATTTCAAAACTTATCACATAATTATATAATTACTTTTATAACACTATAATTTATATAATAAACGAGTTGTACTTGTGACTTCTTTTCGCGATGAATTTAACAAAATCTTGAAAAATTCTGCATTATTGATTTTTTTATGTATACAATAATTGTTGTACAATTGATTTTATAGGCTATTACAATAATTCTTTTGGTTTTCCTCGTGTTTTTGAAGAGATCTGACTTTCTTTCAATTATTACTATTGAAAATTAATTTTATTTAATTATTGAATTTTAATTTCTGTTAAAAATCTAATTAATAAATCTTTATTTTGGGAAAAATACAACTGTAAACGTTACTTACTAAATGAAATAACATATAACAATTTGATCAATTATAAAATTCAAATTTGAATATTGAACCTAACTTATAATTAAAATTATAAAAATGTAGCAAAAGAGTTTGATTTAATTTGATAAGACTTTTTTTATTCCATGTAGACAAAATCTCGGGTTCAGCTAGATAATATAAAATATTTTATTATAAAGTGAAATTTGCCTGAGTTACGCCCAATTACATAAGTTACCTTCCAAAAAAATTCGTCAAAATTGGTTTGGAGGTTTTTTAAGGAGACTAAATTTTTAAAATATGTTAGTTTGCTTATGTACTTTATTTATATTCATATGCAAATATTAAAAAACTGTAAATTCAATAATACAAACGGACACTCCATTTTTAGTCATTTATAGTTACAGATAGTTTTTTTTTTTTTGATATATATTTTCAGCGTTTCAATTATTTATAATTTAAATACCAATTTGAAATATTCGCTGTAATTTATCAACTATATTAAAATTAAAATTTTCGTTGTGATTTATACAGAATTAAATAAATTATATTTTTTTGCATCATAATATCCTACAGCAACTTGAACTACTTTTTACAATGTTTACTGCAGACATAAAATTGTATTTACATATAAGCCGAGGTCTCCAGAATCGTTGTTCTAAATTAAAATAATTATTCAAGAAACTTGTACAAAATTAATTACTCCAGAAAATACAAAATATAACACATTTTCAAAATCAATCTAATTTATAGCAAACTTTGGGAGAACACAACAGGTAAAATAAGTACAAACTTCTTTGTAAGTTGTGTCTTTATGACTTATAACAAATATGCTTCGCATAGCTGTAGTATTTTCGGTGCTCAACAGAGGGTCTTCTGTGCCTACTCAAATTCATCGCTAGTTTCATAGACCTGAATCTATAATTACAAAATATTTACTTTAAGGCGTTTGAGTTGCAACTCTTTTCCTCGCCCCTAGAGGTGAAATATTTTTGGATGCCTCGTTTTTATTAAAAAACGAGGCTAATATAAATATAAACAGTTTAATAATTAACGTTTCCGTAATGTTCGTAGATTTTGTGAAAACTTGTTTGTGATTTTCTAGAAAACATTTCGCATGGTAAGTTATAGTAAACGCAAAAAATGGTGAATGAAAATTTGTATATATCTAACGTTTCAAAGGCTTTTAAACATTTTGACATATCTTAGAAAAAAATGATGTATGTGTGTGTGTGGGTGTGTGTGTGCGGATACAAATTTTCGTCGACAATTTCGATAACACGGATCAACCAATTTAAATAACTAAAAAATATTTGATTTGTATTAATGGGGAGACATGCTGATGAGTTTGTGACAAAGGCAGGTCCAGTAGTTTGCCAAAGATACGGTGCCAAAAACGGCTTGAATAATTTAAAAAATATTTCATTTGTATTGACAAAACCAAGAACTGATAAAATTTTTAGAAAGTAATATCTAGCGGTCCAATAAAAAAAGTAAAAAAAAAATTGTTTATCAAAAATGTACATTAGACATAATATGCACCTAAAATTATTAGGTAATTTACAGATATTTTAATAATAAGTACAAATTTAGTTTATTTTTCTATGGGTTCCGTACCAATGTTCATCAATTAAATTGCGACGCGGTGCTTACAGGCTTGATATTTCACCTATAAAGGATTAATGCAGCGCGATTGCCTTTTGAGGTATTATAAATTTTTACTTACAGGTAAAAAATAGTAAAAATGTATCAAAATAGTTTGAAATGAGATAGGATCAAATAAAATGCAAAAACCAAACCAATTAATATTGTTCTTAAATTTCACGTGGACTTTCACTAGATAAGATAAAATATATTGTTTTAAAGTTGCCTGAGTTACTCCCAATTACATAAGCCTCCGCAAAATCAACAAAAACAAATCTGCTTCGCACAGTTTTAGTATTTTTGTGCTCAACAGAGGGTCTTCTGTGCCTACTCAAATTTATCACTAGTTTCATAGAACTGAATCTATAACTACAAAATATTTACTTTAAGGCGTTTAAGATGCAACTCTTTTCCTCGCCCCTTAGAGGTGAAATATTTTTGGATGCCTCGTTTTTATTAAAAAACGAGGCTAATATAAATATGAACAGTTTAATAACTAAATATTTAAAATGTTAATAGTGTTTGTGATTTTGTTAAAAATCGTTACAATCGTCGCCCTATGGAGCCGGGGAATCAATTAGAATTATTGAGGTAAAGGCAGAACGGTCGTGTTCAAGATCTAATTATAATTCTTTTTTTATATATGGTGGTAAATATTATACTTGCTCTAACAATGATAGTAAATTATTTTTTACTTTTCGGAGAATCGCAAAAAATATTAGGCATAGCTTAGAAAAAATTTATGTATGTGTTTGGATACATATTTTGAAAACACTTATCAACCAATTTGAATAATGCTAATATATTCAATTTGTATTATTGGGGAAACTTGCTGATGAAATGATTTAAAAAACATTTTATTTGTATTAACGAAACCAAGAACTAATTAAAAATTAGGAAGGCATATACAGCAGTTTCGGATATTCAATAAAATAAAGTAACTAGTGGTGTGTGGAATTGTGCCTTAAGGAATTCTCCATACAATTAAATATTCTAGCAAAAAAATCAATAATCAATAAATATTGATAAATGTTTAATAACATTTGTTTTAATTATTTTTCAAAGAAATAATTTTAATTACTATATATTTATTCGTTCATATAATATACTGTGACGATCTTATCACTCAAAACACTGGGAAATGTTTACATAAAGAAGAATTGCAGAATGAGATATATTTCTTACGAGTAGAATAACGCATATGAAATATTAACAGTTTTAAACTAAAATGTGAATTTAATTTTTTGAATCTGTATATATGTATCCAAACATACATACATACACACATACACACATACACACACATACATCCATTTTTCCTGAGGTGTGCCAAAATGTTCAAAAATATTTGAAACCAAAAGATATGCAAAATTTTTCATTTTCGATTTTTTGCGATTACCCTATGGGATGTTAAAAAAATGTCATTTTTTATTAAAAAATGATCATTAAACAAATGCACATCAAATTAACAAATATTTTACAGCGGTTCGAAATTTAATTTTATTTTATTTAATAATAAGTTCGAATTTTGGTCATTTTTCTATGGGTTCCGTACAAATGTTTATCAGTTAAACTGCGACGCGGTGTTTAAAGGCTTCGATATTTCACCTATAAAAGAGTTACGCAGCGCGATTGCCTTGTTAGATATTATAAATTTTTACTTACAGATAAAAAAATGTTAAAAATGTATCGAAATAGTTTGAAATGACATAAGATCAAATAAAATGCAGAAACCAAACCAATTAATATTGTTCTTAAATTTCACGTGGACTTTCACGAGATAAGATAAGATAAAATACTTTGTTTTAATGTCGCCTGAGTTACGCCCGATTACATAAGCCTCCGCAAAATCAACAAAAACAAATCTGCTTCGCACAGTATTTGTGTTTCCTGTGCTCAACAGAGGGTCTTCTGTACCTACTCAAATTTATCACTAGTTTCATAGACCTGAATCTAAAACTACAAAATATTTACTTTAAGGCGTTTAAGGTGCAACTTTTTTCCTCGCCCCTAGAGGTGAAATATTTTTGGATGCCTCGTTTTTATTAAAAAACGAGGCTAATATGAATATAAACAGTTTTATAAGTAACGCATTGATAAGAAAATAACATTTTTAAATGTTATTAGCTTTTGTGAAGGCGTGTTTGTAATTTTGTTGAAAGCAG